AGCTTCCTTCTGAGGAGTGGCTGGTGGGTTTGAACCGCTAGCCTTCTGGTTAGCAGTCAAGTGCCTTAGGCACTATGCTACCAGAGCTCCTCAGTAAAGATTTACAGCCTTGGAAATCCAATGGGGGTCACTGTGAGTCAGAATTGACTCAATAGCAGTAGGTTTTTTATAATCTTAAAGAGATTGTGGTTGCAAGGAAGATAAAGCTACCCAAACTAGTTCCCTTAAGAGGTGGGGGTGGTTGTTACAGGGTCTCAGGGAGCACACAAAAGGATGAATAATTAGGTTTGGAAATAAACAGCCACTCTGAAATAGCTCCTTCTACCTTCTGCTGCTCTAAACCTCTTCAACCTATATGCTCTGTACACTGACGTTTTGCATTTATGACCATAGTGAAAAATCTACCATCAACTATTTTGTGCATTAACGATGTATGTCTGGCAGCAAGAAACACTAAGGTGTGAGCAGAGAGCAATGCTGCCTATGATGCTTAAAGCTTTGTCAACTTGGCTAGGCCATGATTCTCAGTGGTTTGGCTGTTATGCAATGATGTAGTTAGTCATCCTTCATTTAGTGATCTGACATGGTCATTGTGATGACTAAAGCTGTGTGTCAACTTGGCTGGACCACAATTCTGTGCGGTTTAAGCAATTGTGATGTGGGTTGTTCCAATGATGGAATCAGATGTATATGTTTTGAGTAGTCAATCCATTGAAAGGGAGTTTCCCTAGGGGTGTGGCCTGCTTCCAGTATATTTATGGACATCCTGGGAAAAGAGACTCTCTTCTGTGGATTGGGATTCTGTTGTGCTGCCTACAACTGTCCATGAGCGAACAATCCACCATTCGGCCTGGATATCTTGGATTCGTCATTCATTGGAGTCAAAAGCCAATATACTGCCTGCCAACCTTGAGCTCCTCAGCCCCTGCAGCTGTGTGAGTCAGAAAAAGCCTCCCCGCTTGATGTTTGATCCAAGAACTTTGGACTTTCCAGTTTCTATAAGTGTGTGAGCCATTTTCCTAGGATAAATTTCCCTTTCTCTCTATCTATAAGCTTTACTGGTTTTGTTTCTCTAGAGAACCCAGTCTAACACAGTCATCCTCAATTTTCACATAATGTTGATTTTCACATAATGACCTAGAGTCTTTAGAATCTAACCATGTCAATAAGTAATGAGTGTGTATTTATCTTGCTGCCCTACATGACACTTCAGCTCTAGCATCCACAACCCACTAGCAACATTACCCCTATTCTGTGTCTCTTAATTAAAAACGCCTGCAAGACCATGTATCATTTTGAGCCAAGTTCCAGAAGCCATTGTTTTTGCCCTGCTATGGATAGGCCCACGGAGATCAGATAGTCACTTCTAGTTCCATTAGTTATGACCAGCGTGTGCTATGCCCGCTAGACATCAATGTGCTTGTACAAATTCTCCAAGGTAGGGTTCGGATGGGGGTATGGGATAGAGCAGGTTCCTTAAAAAAGGCTATTATGAAGAGATAGGAATTGAACCCAGGTTTCCTGATTTTCAATTAAATGCTTCTCCCATCTGAGGAATCAATCGATTAAAAGGAAAAAAAACATAAAGCTGTCTACTTTCTCTATTTAAAAGCTACTACCAGGCTGTACATACATTACAATCTGAATGAAAGTATATATAGAACATAATTTAAGTTGGTCTTCCTGATAGGCATGTTCACAACAATGACCAAAATGTTCCTATGATGGTTTTATTGTGCGATTCAGTGAAAGCATTTATTTTTAGTCCTACCTGGTTTAGAGCAAAAAGGAGCTCTGGTAGTATAGTGGTTAAGGCATTTGGCTGCTAACCAAAAGGCTGGTGGTTGGAACCCACCAGCCACACCCAGAAGAAAGATGAGGCAGTCTACTTCCGTAAAGATTTGCAGTCGTGGAAACCCAATGAGGCTCGCTACGAGTAAGAATCGACTTGATGGCAATGAGTTTGGTTTTTGGTTTTGGTTTAAAACAAAAGTGGTAACAGATCATTTCACAGTTTAAGTACATATGGGAGAGTATGGCCATTAGTTTCCTTTCACATATGTATTATAAAATTATAAATTCATAGAATTCTCTAAGTAGGGCGGCAATATGAATAAAATGAAATTTCTTAAACAAAAACATTTGCTGCTGTGGGTATAAAAAGCAGAGCAAAGAACTTATAAGTAGGCAAGAGTAATGTAATTCTAACAATAAATAATTCAAAACCTAGGAATATTTTGGGAATATGAAATATGCAGGAGTTAATCTTTTTCTTTTACCTTTTAATTACACAAACGTTTCTGTAGTCAACCTGTAGCCAATAGCAACCAAAAGGACAAATAGTTTCTTTGACCATTTGAACATATGACTGTGACAGAAGTAGTCTAAAAACAGTAACATAAAATGTTATTATTTAGTATAGTGGCAGATTCTCAATTTATTTCTATCTCAACTGTTCGACCTCAGATATCCATACATATAGCACAGTTTCAGGAGTATATCTGTGGTTATGTATGCCAGTAAAAACATTAGGATGCAAGTCAATGAGTGACTTGTCTTAACTGAGTCTGAGCTAATTAGAAAACAAAACATTCTCAAACTTTGGAACAACAGATTATTTAAAATGTACCTCATATAGGAGTTGTTAAGTTCACTCTTTCAATATAATGGAAATAAATGTCTTCTAACATAATGTTATGCAAGAGGTTTGGAAGAAAATAACAATGATACTTCTTGGTTGGCAGTTGGAGACAAGAAGGTAGCTACATTCAAATACAAGATAAATTATTTTGTACTCCCACTGGGCTGACTGGCATTCATTTAAGCACTAAAAAACCTGCATCCTTAATAATTATTATCTACTTCATCTCTGCCGTGCTGTCAAAAAAGGAAAAGAAACTGGGTGGGAATTAGATTAGTTGCACCGATCTGACGCGAGACAGTGACTTGGGGTGGGGAGCCATCTGGTCAGAACCTGCAGTTAATCACTTGAGAAACGAGTTCTGCAGCGCAAGGTGGTTTCTGAATCATCTATCTGTTGCCTGGCTGTTCCAAATGAATACTAACAAAGGCGAGTGGAACCCAATCCAGATCCGATCACGTATTGCGCAAGGCCGCCGCACGCAGACTAACCGGATCCCTAAGCGATGGGCCCCTAGCCCACCGAACCCCACCCGACAGGCGACGCCATCTATACTTCCTCGCATCCAAACAGCGGCCCAAGGCAAGAGGGAAAGGCCAGGCAGGCGGTTCCCATACCTGCAGCCCGCTAGCTCCCGCTAGCCCTCACGTGCTCCAGGAGCTCCGAGCCTTCGCACTCACCATCTCTATGATCTTGGTCTTCCGCCCCGTCTTCCTCTTCAAGGTGAATATGTATTGGGCCAGCACCACTCCAGCCACCAGGGCGCACACGCTGGCGCTCGCTACCGCTCCAACTCTCGCCACTGCCGCCCGGTCCATGGAAAGGGCCCTTATAGACCTCCCTACCACCAAGGCAAGAGGCTACTCGCGGTCCTGCGAGCTTCGGAAGCTAGGGACCCGAACGCGCCTCTGAGAAGCCCGCGAACGCCCCGCCCCCGCGGAAAGCCCAACCAGCTAACACCGAGGGGCGGGGACAGGAGGGAGCGGAGGGGCGGGGCCTGTGTCAGGGGCAGAGGGACAGGAGGGCTCTTTCCAGACCCCGAGTCTGAGGAACTGGTCCAAGTGCGGGAAAGACACAAAGAAAATTGTGGTACTCCCTGCTAAAGAACACTTGGGACTGGTTCGTTCCAGCCTTGTCCCAGAAGACATCTAATTCCAAACACGGCCCTCTCAGAAATTGTAGTCGGCCAACCACGCGCCAACGCCACTCTGGACTACAACCCCCAGAAGACGGCGGCGAAGACATGTGACCTGCGCAGTAGCGCTGGTTGAAAAGTGCTGTAACGGCATTTGACTGGATTTTTACAAATTACCAGTAACATTGCGAAGAATGGAAATTCCAGAACACTTAATTGTGCTCTTGAGGAACCCTTACATAGAACAAGAGGCAGTCGTTGGAACAGAACAAGGGGATACTGCATAGTTTAAAATCAGAAAGGGTGTACTCCAGGGTTATATCCTTTCACCATACTTTTTCAGTATAGCCATAATGCTACTTAGAAACGAGGATATAGAGACTTCTCACGTACCTTGGACGTGTTATCAGGGGGCACTAGTCCCTGGAGAAAGGCATCATGCTTAGTTAAGTAGAGAGCCAGAAAAAAAGAGGAAGAGCCTCAACAAGATGCATTGTCACAGTGACTGCAGCAATGGGTTTAAATATAGCAACAATTGTGAGGATGGCGCAGGACTCGACAGTGCTTCATTCTGTTGGCCATAGGGTTGTTATGAGTCGAAACTGACTCCTCCTAACCTGACAACAACAGAGATCCGACGCTCCTTCGTTTTCCTTTTAAATAAAAATTACCACTGTAATCCCTTACTGTGTTAGAGAATTAGTTGTGCCCCCCCCCCGCCCCCCATCGTAATGAAACCAAAAGTAACTTAATAGTACGCTCAATGGACTTTAGGAGCTCTGGTAGCATAGTGCCTAAGACATTTGACTGCTAACGAGGAGGCTGGCGGTTCAAACCCACCAGCCACTCCACGGAATGAAGGTTGGGCAATCTACTTCCCCAGTGATACTGCCTCGGAAACCCAGGGAGGGGTCGCTATGAGTCGGTGCGGGTTCGCTATGAGTCGGGTGCGGCACACGACAACAACAACAACAACAATGGATTTTAGAAGGAACTCTGGTGGCATAGTGTGTCAGGCATTTGGATGCTAACCAGAAGGTCGGTGGTTCAAACTCACCAGCTGCTCTGCAGTCCTTAAAATATTTACAGCCTTGAAAATCCAATGGGGGTCTATGAGCCGGAATCCACTAGATGTCAGTGGGTTTAATGGACTTTGGACACACATCTGTAGCGTCAATAGAAAAGGTCACTAAACTTTTTATCTACCTTGACTATTTTTTCTAACTTCAGCTCCTTTCTGCCTAATTTTATGAATTTTTTCTTTTTTAATGTTTACCCTTGGTAATGTTATGGAAAGCATTTGAGCCAGGACCTTGGTTAGTAGACTCTCTAGCCTTAGTTAGAATGGGATTGGCAATTCTGTTCCAATTTGAAACTGTACTGCAAGAGACCACGTTATTTGAAGCAGGTCCAGGGAAAACATGAGAATATCTAGATAGATTCTGGGTCATCAGAGGATTTAGAATGGCGTGGGTGGTAATTCAAACAAGGAAGTTGGGGAACATTCTGATCTGGTGTCAAGAGATTGATGTACCCTCATCCTAGTGGTTCAAAAGTGTGCCATATTACAATTTACCTATGTATCTGGAGTATAAAAATGAGAATATATGACATTTAGTAAATATTGTTAACTTTCCTCTAAAAAAAATTCAATAAAAGTGTAACAAAAGGGTTACTTATTTCTTTAAAACTTGATGCCAGATTTTAAATTTAGTCATCTGCTAGTTTGTATGGTTATGTAACTCCACTAGCAGCAATGAGCAATGCAACTGTTTTCCAGAAACTCTTCCACTTCTGTTAAGATTTATTATAAATTCATTGACCTCTTATTTTTTCTCACTTCCATTAGTGCCCTGCCTTTATCTAATTTCTTAGCATAAAAAGAGGACCTTAGATGGTTTCTTTCTTTCTCTGCTTTGTGTGTTTCTTTTCATTTTGAAATAACTTTAGTCTCACAAAGAAGTTGCAAAAATAGTACAGAGAATTTCACTGTACCCTTCACTAGATTTTCTCAATGATAATACATTGCATTACTGTAGCATAATGATCAAAACCATTAAGTTGACTTTGATACAATGCTGGAATTCATCTACAGAGCTGACTGGATTTCCTCAATTTTTACATGTGTTCTTGCTCCTTTTTTTGGCCTATAGTTCTAAGAAATTGTGTCACATGAAACCACCACTAACTTTGTCAGGATATAGAACTGTTCCATCACTCCAAAAAAATCCCTTTTACTACTCCTTTATAGTCAAACTTTCCCCCCAACCCTATCCTCTGGCAATCACTGATCTTTTCTCCATCAGTGTAATTTTGTCATTTTGAGAATGTTACAGAAATGGAATTATATGACACGTGACCCTTTAGGATTGCTTGCCCCCCACCCCCAGTCAGCATAATACTCTTGACATCCATCCAACTTGCTGTGTACATCAATAATACTTCTTTTTTTTTTTTT